GTCGTTAATTAATTGTTACAGTTGATTTGTGATCGTTTATTTGGTAATTCAGAATAAATATTTCGTTGTTTATCATGCAAAATATCGTTGTTGTGTTACTGAATATTTCTGAGTTATTGTTCTAAAGTTATATCTCGCATTATGCAGTGGAACATTTCCATTTTCAACATCAATGTCTAGATTCGAGTTATGATGGCTGGGCGTATGAAAACTTTATCTAGTTGGAAAGAAAACAAGGTGATTGAAGGGGAAGTTTCATTGACGTGAAGGATTTTATTATGAATGTAGGGAATTGAAAGGTGGTTGGTATTCAAGCACCCGAGGGCATCGTTATGAAAGTTGAACATTTTATATGAAGAGTCCGGAATTGAATCCGTGATTGCACTGAATGAAAGAAGAAAACAATTTTAAGATTGCACTGAATAGGGTTGAGTAGATAGGGTTGCACTGAACCGACTTCAGAAATATGTGTTTTACTACTATTATTTTGTAAAAATGAGATGTTTTGTTGATTAAGTTAAACTGTCAATAGTTAAGTGTAAATGTGAGCCAGTAAAAATTGATAGATGAGAATCGTTAATATCAATTGAATGAATGGTTATTCAGCAATAATGAACGGTCTTGAATGGCAAGCCGTCCTACTGTGCGGTGGTATGGGCAATCGAATGACCGAACTGACGGATCGCATTCCAAAATGTATGCTACCAATCGCTGGCATACCGATGTTTTGGTATCCGTTGAATTTTATACGGAGAAATGGCATTAATGGTTTGTATTCAATGCACATTTCTTTATTGCTACAATTCAATTCATTCATCTCGATTCGTATAGAAAGTTGCCTTCTGGGTCTAGAAGTTATGACTGCTTGGCCTCATGAAAACTTTATCTATTTGGAAAGAAAAAACATGATAATTGAAGGGGAAGTTTCATTGACGTGAAGGATTTCATTGTGAATGTAGTGAATTGAAAGATGATTAATGTTCAAGCACTCGAGATCATCGTTCAAGAAAATTGAATATTTTATATGAAAAATCTGGATTCGTACAGAAACTTGCCCGGTGGGTCTAGAAATATATCCTTGCGATATACATCGTCAGTGTTGCTGATAAGATGTTTATTAGGATCTACAAGATGAAACTTTTTGAAGACGGTTCATCTCATTCTAAAAATCTGAAGAAGTTATGGTCATCTTTGGAGAAAATATAAAAAGTCTACTTGTTGTGTTCACTATTCTCTTGAGGCAATTTATCTGTGATGCGATACTTGACAATGACTTGACAAGGATTTTGAAAGAATTTTGATCAGATTGTATATTCACAATTCATTTCAGAAGTTTTGTTTGTGGTCAGCGAACGGTTATTACCTCAAGTGAAACAACTTATAAATGGGAAGCAATTACCACCGTTAGGCGATGAACTCAACATTGAATATATACCGTTGTCGAGTGCAGCTGAGGAGTGGGGCACGGCCGATGTANCAAATTGAGCCGAAAATTAAGGTCTTTTAATTGGTATCTTTAGACCAAAGGAATTCACTAATTGTAAGATGCTCCAGTTATAAGGAAAAGTTGTAGAATTTTAAGGATTCATAAATAGATTCGAATTATTTTTTGATGTTTACATCGTTGATGCTTTGGAATGTTTTGTTTGAAATAATGGACTTATCAGTGTTAAGTTTTGGTGATTACGATGAATATTTTAGAGTGATTTTGTTGTCGTGAGCGGAGATTTTATATCCGATATGAGTCTTGCACCGTTAATGAGCATGCATCGAGCCAATGATTCGTGTTTAACGTGCGTTTTTGCCGAGAACTTTATCACAGGTTCCGTGCCTGGACCGAAAATGAAACGATCTAAAGGTATTTTCGGTTTTGTTACTTTTTATGTTGGTTAATATTATTAATATAATTTTTCCATCATCAGTATAATTCCTTCATTATTCAATATTATTGTCTAGTTGTTGTGTTCGCTCAGGTCGAGATTTCGTGGCCTTATCCGAGAAGAATCAACTGCTTTTCCTGGGATCTGAAGAAGATTTCGATGATACAATCCCAGTTAATTCACATTTATTTTCGAAGTTGGTTATCATTTTCATAGGGCGTTTGTTTTGTTGTTACCAATGAATGCATCGAGCGATTCTTTTGAATCACTTTCATTGGAACATCATAATATTTTGAGTGATATAGAAACGGAATTAATGAGTTAAATTGAGTTATATCAATTCGCATTGTTTTTTCGAAATTGAGTTAAACTGGCGATGAATAATATTACATATGTACATTCTTTAAACATTTTCATCATTTATTTTTATTTGAGTTTGTTTCATCTTCAATGATGTTTCATAATTTCATATCCTAATTATTGCGTTGGAGGGGGGCTTAGTATTAGTCCAGGCTCGTCAGTATTGGGCTTGGGCGTAGTCATTAGACTTGGACATCAGTACGAAGAATGTGCCGAAAACACTGTTGAAGTCGTAACATAGTGTCCTTCAACCTTATATATTATGTTATGAAAAGCATTCATTGTATTTTGAAGTTTGGGTTGCATTTTAGATTCAGAAATGTGAATTTAACAGCGAAATGCAACGATTGTCATGTGTATGTGATGAAACGATGGATCATTGATATCGTCAAACGGCAACGTTCATTATCGTCGATTAAAGCCGATCTGATACCATATCTTCTGGAACGACAGTACACGCAGTTGGAATCTGGTACGTGCAGGTTCTTTATGTAGGTCATCATGGAAAATGCGATAGAATGCAAAAAAAGCGCATGTTTTCATACAAAATGCGATTAATTTCATTGCATTGGAGCAATTATTTGCGAACAGCAAACACTGTGGCTTGAGACATTAATTTGAAACGTTGTTTTTGTGATTCGATTCGATTGCAGTCGTTGGCATTTCTGATCGAAAAATGTTAACTGAAAGTATTGGGAGGAATTATGTGATGAATATAAATTGGGAAGGCACATATAATAATAATAATTTTAGTCTGGGTTTTGGATCATTGAAGAAGAGCGATTGTTTGTTTTTTTTTTGCAGAATTGGTACCACACGTTGAAATCGATAAGTTGACGGAACTTGCAAATCAGTTCAGTTTCGGTACTCCAATAGCGCCTCAGATACCGCAATTGCGTTGTTTCGCTTATATAGCAACACCGGAAAATGGCTCGATTGTAGCGCATGTGAATAATATTGGTACTTATTTCGAGGTTAACAAAGCGGTTGGTTTTTATTTTATTTGGAATTTGTGTGTTTATTTGTTCTATTCAGTTTATTTCCTGATTAAAATCGCTCGTTGAAATCATTGGGAATGTGTCCTGAAAAGTTTTGTCTCACGCAAAACTCGTTTCCAAATATTCAGTGCTCACATGAATTGCAAATAGATTTTTTTTTTGTTGAGAAGAGAAATGTGTCCAAAGCATTCAAGGTTTGTTACTATATCTTATGGTCATATGATCAGTCGAATTGCGTTCAAGGACCTTTTGAATAAGTATTATTGTATAAAATCAATCGAATCAATCAGTCGAAAAAATAATATTTATGTTCGTTGACTGAACGTAAAATATTTTAATTATATTAAAATCCCGAGAAGTTGTTTTGCTTTTTGAAGACAGATCAGTTTTCACACAAATTCATTTAGAGTTTGCTTTCATTTTTGGGGTGTTTGCATTTTCAGATAATCCGATTTTTGCACTGTAAATTCAGTGATTCATTCCCGCACGGTCTAAAGATGGACCAAAATATAAGTGAAAGTTATGTGAATAAAACGGTAAGATTTCTCGATGGAGCGTCGACGTTACGGACAGATAGGCCGATTATTAAGAGGTCAGTGGTGGGAGCTGGATGTGAGTTGGGAATGCGAGTGAGGATAACGAATTCGTTGATTATGGATTCGTGCAAAATTGGCACTGGGTAAGGATATTCTCTGAAATGAGATTCATTTTTGTTTCGTATTTGTTCGATGTTTTCATGAGAGCAATTGAAATTTGAGCGATTCTTTTTAATCGTTTGATTGTTTCGTTAACTTTTTAAACTTTTAAACCGTAATGGACATTTTTGCATTTAGGATTTTGAATTCAATTAGAATTGAAATGTGAAATTCGAAAGTTTTGATTCAGTTCGATTCAATTCGAAAGACAAAAATTTTGCAGTGTTCAAATAACGAACACGATTGTGTGCAGTGGTTGTGAGATTGAAGAAGGCGCACAGATAATGTCTTCGATTGTAAGCAATCAACAGAAAATACCCTCAAACGGTAATTTCTTTGATATGTTGAAATGTGGTTTATTTGTGGTGGTTTCCTTGAAGAGAAAATCGGGTTGATGAATATTGTTGGATGGGAAAGTGTCGGGTTTTAAAAGTAAGAGTGAGCGTAAGGCTGAGACCAAATACTAGGCCAAGCTTGAGCCCAGATGTTGGCCTAAGGCA